CATTGCATCATTATTTACAATAAACAAGACATTGAAACAAAGTAAGTGTTCATCAACAGATGAATGGACAAAGAAAATGAACTGCATATATACAATGGACTATTCAGCCATAAAAAATAATGTAATCCAATTGTGGTTCCGGTCAAGGTGGCAGAATAGATAACCACTGTGCTTGCTCCTCTCACAATCTTATCAAAATTACAATTAAACTACAGAACAACCATCATTCTGAGTCACCTGAGGTCTAGCTGAACAAAAGTCCTACAATGGGGGACACACAGAAGAGGCCAACTAAAGACTGCTAGGAGGGGCAGAGACTCAGAGATCCACCACCTGCATGTGGCGGTTGAGAACTGGGAGAAATATCTCTGCTGCAGATGTCCCCCCAGAGGAGCGAGAGATCCTGGTCCCATACCCAGCTCCCCATCCCAGGGTTCCAGTTCCACTTAGAGACATCCCCACAATTTCTGGCTGTGAAAACCAGTGGAAATTGTGGCTGAGTGAGACAGAGGGCTGCTGAAGTCACAGACATTCCTCTTACGGGGTCAGCGTGTGGACTTACTTGCTGATGAACTCACTCATTCTGCGTTCCATCACTGGGGCAGCAGATGGAAAGGCACCAGGGACATAAGGGAAGAAACTGAGTTGTCTGGCTTCAGAGCAAGGAGTGGAAGAGAAACTTTCTCCCAGAGAGAAGTTCCGGCAGAATCCATTGATTCTTTGATGAACCCTCGCCCTTCCTGGAGCACAGACACAGACAGATGCCATATTTGAGTCTCCATCAACCTGGATTACACTGATCACCCTGCCCTAGTGTATCCCTGAGACTCTGCCCCACCCAACTTGCAGGCACAACCCAGCCACTTCCAGTGGCTTTTCCATACAAATGGCCTGTCTTGGCTCATGCTGTGGACTTTCCTAAAATCTCTCAAAGGCTCACAAACCCAAATAAAGAGCATCTGGCCTCGGCATGCTCATACCTCTTGCTGAGCAGCCTGAAGCCTGTCACAAGGAGCAGCAAGCTACAGTTTGGGACTTGGCCTCTCGAGGTACCTCCAAGCCCAGTGTGGCTGATAGCCATCTGCAGATTTCTTAGTGACTTTTGCCAGGTGGCCCCAGCCAATACACAGGCTGCGGCTGAGCTTGGTCTGTGGCAGAGCTCCTTCCAGGAGGCCCAGGGCCACACGCCCAGCTTCCACGGAGCCTGAGCACCACCCAGGCCTGCATCCAAAGATGACACAAACAAAAGGCAGACAGGGCACATACTAGAGCCCTGCTAAAGCAAATCTTGCTTCACAGGGTCAGCCCCTTACCAGCCAGTCCTCCCAACCAATCAGCCCAAGGTCAATCCCTCCTACTGACATACAAACAGCAACCAAAGCTCAACTACAACAGGAAGACACACATGACACACATAAGGGACACATCTGAAGCATCTGGCTCAGGTGACATGGGAAGACTGCACCACTGGGCCCCAGAGGGCACATAATAGATAAGGCCACTCTACTAAGAATGAGAGACATGGCAGCCCTACCTAATACATAGAAATTAACACAGACAGCCTGTCAAAATGGGAGACAAAGAAACATGTCTCAAATGAAAGAATAGAACAAAGTTCCAGAAAAAGAACTAAATAAAATGAAGACAAGCAATCTACCAGATGCAGAGTTCAAAATATGGATTATAAGGATGCTCAATGAACTTAGGAGAAGAGTAGATGAGAACTTTAACAAAGAGATAGAAAATATAAAAGTGGAGCTAGAAAACATAAAAAGAAATCAAACAAACCCAAAACACTACTTCAAAGGGACATATGAACCTATATGTTAACTGCAGCATTATTTACAATAGCCAAGATATGTTGGCAACCTCAGTGTCTATCAAAAGGTAAATGGATATAGAAGAGTTGGTACATATATACAATAAAATACTAGCCATAAAAAAGAATGAAATCTTGTTAGCTGCAACGACACGGATGGACCTAGAGGGTATTGTACTAACTGGAGTCAGAGAAAATGTGCTAAGTCAGACAGAGAAAAACAAATGCCATATTATTTCATTTAAATGTGGAATCTAAAGAACTCTTAGATATAGAGAACATTTTGATAGATGCCAGATGGGAGGGGATTTGTGGTGTGGATGAAAAAGGAAAGGTATTAAGAAGTACAAATTGGTAGTTACAAGCAGTCATAAAGATGTAAAGTATAGCATAAGGAATACAGTCAATAATATTGTAATATCTATATACGGTGTCAGATGGAAACTAGATATATTGGGGTGATCACTTTGCAAGTTATATAAATGTCTAGTCAGCATGTTGTACACCAGAAACTATAATTGAAAAAGACAAGGGGAAAATTAAATCATTTCTTCAATTAAATAAATTAATTAATAAAAAATAAAACAAAAAAACAAAATAAAACAAACAAAAGAAGGCAATTCTGCCATTTCCAAAATAATGAATAAACCTTGAGAACCTTATGCTAAGTGAAATAATTCAGACGGAAAAAGACAAATACTATATAATTTCACTTATACAAGGAATCTAAAAAAAATTAATTCATAGAAACAGAGAGTGGACTGGTGGTTTCCAGGGATGGCAGGGTTGGGGAAATGGGTGAAGGTGGTCAAAGGATATAAACTTTCAGTTATAACATGAATAAGTTCTTGCAATTTAATGTACAGCATGATGTACATTATATTATAGTTAATACTACAGTTATAGTATAGTTATATAAAATCATAAAACTATAGTTATAGTATACTTAATACTATACTATGGACTAGTGAGTATAGTTAACAATATTGTATACTTAAAAGTTAAGAGAGTAGATCTTAAAAATTCTAACCACACACACACAAAAAATGGTAACTATGTAAGATGACTGATGTGCTAACTAATCTTACTGTGTTACTCATTCTGTAATATGCATATATTGCAAATCATCACATTGTACACCTTAAACTTACAACAATTTTATATGTCAAATATATGTCAATAAAGGTGGGAAAAAATAATATAGCTTACATTGTCCATTTGAAATATGTTTTCTCGAACTCGTCCCTTTCTCAGTGAATGAGTACATAATCATGACAATAAAGGTTTATGAAACATAACAGAAAATGGAACAATGTCAAATTCCTATTTTATCCCATGTACTGAAGTTGTGTAATAGAAAGGCATTGTTCTGAGAATATTACACTGAAGTATTCACAGGTAAAGGAGCATGATGTCTGCAAGTTAAAGAGAAAAAGAGTAAAAGGGAGAGAGAGAGAAGAAAAGGGATGGGGGAGGAAGAGAGGAAAAAAGGTAAGGGAGAGGGAGAAGGAAATGATAGAGAATGATATGGAAATAGAGAATGATAAAGCAAACATGGCCAAATGGTAATTGGTGAATCTAGGTAAAGGGTATAATGGAGTTCTTTGTAATATTCTTACAATTTTTCTTTAAGTATAAAATTAAATCAAAATAAAAAATTTAAAAACATAAGTATAAGGGATGGTTACCAGAAGAAAGTAGGTAGAGGATGGGTGAAAAGGAGAAGAAGAATATAGTTAATGATATTGTGATAAATTTGCACATTGATAGATGGTTACTAGTATTAGTGAGGTGATCACATTGTAAGGTATAAAAATGTCAAATCACTATATTGTACACTCGAAAATAATATAATCAATATAAGATTGTATACCAACTATGCTTAAATAAAAATATATTTTAAAAAGTATAAATAGCAGCAATAATTCCATCATTGAATAGCACAATCACACTTTTCCTATGTATTTAGTGAAAAAAAAAAAAGTTTTATATTGCCGAAATCTATTGGGATAAGGAGCCAGTATATAATTTTGGTTTTTGTTACCAGAAAGACAAAAGACATAAAACATTTTAAAGCAGAAAATAAGATGAAATTCATCTATAACTGAACTAATGATTTCACAATATGATTTTTAAAACAGACTTTTGTGTTTGTAAATAAAAAAACTCATGAGTCAAAAAGAAATCATAAATTAGAAAATAATAATTGAATTACAATAAATTACTACATATAAAAACCTGTGAAATTCTTCTAAAGTGGTAGATAGTGAAAAATTTATAGTCATAGTTTAGAAAAGAAAACTGAAAATTACTGACATATAAGACCAAATAAATAAACCAGAAAAAGAGCAAACAGAAAGTAAAGAAAAAAATAAAAAAGCAAAAGTTAATAAAATAGGAAACAAAATATTCAATGGTGAGGTCTGATGAAACCAAAAATGAGAAATACATTAGAAAATTGATTACTGTAATTTATCATACAGTCACATATCATGCTGTCATATTAATGAGGAAAAAAAACCCATATGATCATAGCAGTAAATACCAAGTATCTGGAGAAGAAACTGCATACTAATTCATAATAAAAACTCTCCGCAAACTAAGAATAGAAAGGAACTTCCTTAACCTGAAAAAGAAAATCTACTAAAATGGTGAAATATTTATAGAATTCCCTTGTAAATTCAGTAGCAAGACAAGGAAATCCTCTATCACTGCTACTATTTCTCATTGTACTGAAGATCCTAACTAGCACAATAAAATAAGTTAAAAAATGGCAAAAAATATTGGACAATCTAAAATATATTGGGAAGAAACTGCCATTATTCCCAATGTAATTAACAGAAAATCCATAATTAGAACAAATACAATTCAGAAAGCTGCAGCATATAAAATCAACATGTAAGAATAATCACAAAATGTGGTTTAAAAGATACATTTCACAATAACATCAGAAACTATAAGGTAATTAGAGTGAATGGAACAAAACAGCTTATAGATTTACACTTTTGTGGTATATATGGATGGTTTCATATAGTGTAGAAAATGCTTTCAATTTTATCATTTGGTGATAGCTTTTTGGTTTTTGTTTGGCTAGTTATTTTTAATGTCATAATTAATCAGTTTAGTGTCATAACCAACTATTTTTCTTCCTCCCTTAGTAAGTTTTTAGTAAGGACATTACCTTAACAATCACAACTTCCCAGCACAGGACAACAGAAAAAGCAGGGTAGCATTGTCAATAATCTTCATTGTCTTCACTGGATGAACTATTTTACAAATAGGTGAAGGAAACTGAGTCATACTGTAATCCTTCAACGACTGAAAAATAGTAAAATAAGGTAAAATCATTTTTTGTTAATTTATCTCTTTCCCCTGACCTCTTCAAGTCCTGTTCCACCATACCCCCATTTCAATTTTATACTCCTGTAAAAACAGTTATATAGATAGTATTGAAAGGATCCATTGCATATCAATAACAAATAATAATTGACAATAAGTACAATAATAAGTATAGACTATGGAAGCCCTTTAGAACAGTGTCTGGCATGTAAAAAATGTTCGGTAAACATTATTACAATTTTTCAGTGATTTGAATCACTGAAAGAAATTATGTAGCTCTTGCACTTCTTGCCATACACAATCTTTGTTTTCTATGTGAGCAGATCTATGCTCTCCTGCTCACCACCACTACTGTTTGGACAAAGAGGTAAAGTTGAGGGAAATCAGGCTTAAGGAATGACCTGGTGATGCTTTCAAGCGAAATAGAGCTCATTAGTTTTCTATGCACTACCACCAAGCCCTAAATCCAGAACCCCCTTAGTTGCCACTGTTAGACTATTATTCATTGACTTATTTATTCAAATAGATTTCACTCCTACTATGTACCAGGCACTATGCCTTGGCCATCCATCCCTTTCAGCTCCCAGTACAATACCTAGTCCATTGCAAGGATTCCATAAAGGTTTATTGCATGAATGAAGAAGGGATGCCCTGTGTCCTTTGGATTACAAAGATCTGTGATGCTTAGGTCAGATTTGGTTTTATTTCTTGTATTCTATAAGTTCATATAAATAGAAGATTGTTTCTCTGATAGTAAAAACTTTATAGTAAAAACTGAACTCCTATAATGTGTCACTTGCTTGAAAATCTTCAATGGTTGCCACTACATATGGATTAAACTGCATAGTCCTTAGCATTATATTGAAGGCCCTGCAACACTCTATTTCACCTCCAAGTCCTCATAGATTCAGAATTATAGCCAAGCTTTTCCCAGAACAAGCCTGTCTTGGGGCTTTTGTTCCAGAAATACTAGGCCTGAAAAACATTCTCTCCCCTTCCACATGAAAAGATGTCACTCACTCTTTAAGGTCCACCCAAATTTCCCCTTTCTTCTTAGATAGTTCATGATTACTACCAAGCAGAATGATTTGGTCCACCCTAAGTTGCTTCCTGAATACCTTGAACAAGCAAATATTATGGCACTAGGGTTTGACTTAACATATTCTATTTTTTTTTTACTTACTAAATTCTCTCACCATACACAATCACACTTTTGCAGCTCTTATAAGCACCGTGCTAAGCACAGGCATTAGACCTTCAATACATCTTTACTGGTCTTAAACAGCATTTTTTTAATTGAAAGTTTCAAATATACACAAAAGTAGTGAGAACAGTATAATGAATCGCCATGTATACAAAACCTTGTTATAATAATTATCAACTCATGAACCTTTTGTTTGTAAGCCCCACCTCGACCCCTCGAAATTACTTTCAAACATATCAAAAGATTCAACTCTATTTCTTAAAAAATAACAACCACTGTTATCACATTATAATAAAATAATTCTTATGTCATTAAATATCCATAATTTCATCCAAGTATATTTTGTGAGTTATTTAATGCCTGCATAGTCTTTCTTCAATTTTAAAATCGTGGAGCGAACAGGGAAAATGAGAAGGCGATCTAGGAAATGCATAATTAGGATTCAGAGAGCCTGGATGTTCCAGATGAGAAAGAATCTAACCTGGTTTAGGATGAGAGAAGTATATTCTACTACTTCTCCGGAGGAGGAGGGTGCGACGTTAGACCAGGTGATGCTGGAGGAGGTGCGGAGGGGAGAGAAGTACTACCTCCGTTGGGGGTTCCTTCCGGATAATCCCACCGTGGAGCTAGGAGGCAGCGCTTTTTTGGAGGCTTGGTTTCCCGTGTGTTTCCAGGTGGGAGCGTGGATCTCCCGGATGTACAAGGTTGGTCCTCCATAAGGGTTATAGGACCTGGGTGTCAGCTCTCTCTGGTGGACCCTGGCGAGGCCAAAAGACCTGAGATGGCGGCGAGTTTCCTCCAGGCACAGAGCTTCCTCCCGGTTTCTCTCTTACCGCATTTCCTGTATCCTGATACGTATATCCCCTTTTTGCCTCCGCCCCAGCTCCCTACCCTACCCCATTTTAACGTTTTTACAAGGATCAGCCTTTTTAAAAGTGACTCGTATAGTATATGTAATATAATGCTTTATCATCGTCCCTCCCCCTGCGTAACTAAATCTATGGACAGACTTATACATTTTATGCTACTTTATAATTAAAGTTAGGTTTACGCCTAAGTGGTAAACTCTGCATAGATTGTGGAACCGCACGGAGTGTGAGGGGCGGGTCTGGAGCCGGGGCGGGGAGAACAAAGAAATTATTGAAGCGCTAACAGCTTTAAGATCTAGTTGCAAAAGCAAAGCACAAAGCCGTGAAACTACCTACGACCATTTAAAAACAATATACAAACGTATTAGTTGACTAAAGTGCAGAATAGAACACTAGTACTGACTTTGGAAATTGAATGTGGGAAATAAATTCACCGTATGTCATAGAATCTAAGAATGCTTTTTTTCATATTTTAACAAATTAGAAATCTCTAAAGGCTTGCCTTTTCTTGATGCTTCAACATCTAGGAAATCTCTGACAATTGATGGTATGCCATACTTTAATTGGCGATGTTTATTTTTTCCGTAGAGTTATAGAAAATTATGATCAATCTTACTCTATGATATGTGGTTAGTAACCAGAAGAGGGTGCAATGTGGCTTAGAAGAAAAGGTTACTGGAACTACCTAGACCTTCAGCATTGACACCCATCTCCCTTTGGCTATGGGATAAACTAGACCACACTTTTCCAGCACTGTCCTCCGTTTTAAAAAAATAAAGTTCAATCCTTAATATCAAAATAGAACTGACTTTTAAAATATTCTGCTATTTGCCAGCTTTGTGATACTTAAGTAGTTTATTGAACACTTTAAGCTTTAGTTTCCAGGACATAATTTCTTCCTTGCAAAACTATTGCCATAATCAGGGAAAAAGCCATTAAAACACTTATTAACCGTGACTGCCTCTTATATCTATAATTAACACCTTCCTTCAGGTACCAGTGTAGCCCTTTATACAAACTAGATACTGAGGAAATGTTTAGAATATAAATGACTCTGTGTTTCTCTATCAGATGCTACTAATAAAGACAAGCAATGTAGCAGTAGGTTAATGAAAATATGTGAAGGGAAACCAAGAGAAAGAAGGCTCTAGAGCTGGAAGAGCAGTTGGGACTAGATATATATATGTATGAGTCAGTAACATATATGTGGTAGTTGAAGTCATGAGAATGGATGATATCTCCAAGAGAAAATATAGAAGAAAAAAAAAAGAGAAGTGGGCTAAAGACAGAATTGTAAGTAATTAGAGACATAAAAAGAGAAGCCTGCTACGAAGGCTAAGAAAGATGACCAAAGTCAGAAAAGAGAACTCTGATGCAGAGTTTCTCAACCTTGACACTATTGACATTTGAAGCCAGATCATTCTTTGTGGTGGAGGGTGTGGCTGTCCTGTGCATTGTAGGATATTTAGCAGTATCCCAACCCAGGCCAGTAGCACCCCACCACCACCCCAAATCCTAACAACCAAAAATGTCTCCAGACACTGACAAATGTCACCTGGGAGGCAAAATCATCCCCACTGAGAACCACTGGTCTCTCCCTAATCCTCTAAAGTTGTTCTTTTCCTAGTGTTCTTTATCTCAGTGAATGCCATGCCTTCGACCTAGTAGAAGTCAAACCTTAGAGTCCTTTGTTTTGATATTGCAGAATATTTTATTATTCCCCAGAGTAAATGAAGCAACAGTTTTATAATCTTTTACATGGGTCTATAAATACGTGATACTAAAGACTTTAAGAGTAAAAGTTGAAATGAAATTTTATAGCTATAGTTTTAGTAAATTAAGAGAAATATGTGCCTATTTTAGTGAAATGACAGGAATTAAAAATTATATCAAATCCAGGTGGGTTTGATTTATGTTAAACATTTAATTGAGGTGAAAGCCGTCTCAACTTAGAGCTGCTGACCTCATCCTGGACTATACTTCAACTGTATGTATTTTATTTTTATTTTTAGTTGTGGTAAAATACATATAACATAAAATTTACCATCTGAAATATTTTAAGTGTATAGTTTAGTAGTGTTAAGTATATTCGCAATGTTGCACAAAAAAATCTCCAGAAATTTTTTGTATACATTAAGCAACTTCCCATTTTCCCCTTTTTCCAGCCTTTGGCAATCACCATTTTACTCACAACCGGACTGTTTATTTTTGTTATACTAGAATGAGGAACTAAAGTCTTAACTTTTACGTTTCAAAATGATTTTTCCTCTTCATCTTTTCCAAATTAAGCCTTCCCCTCCCGCTCCCCGACATTGATGAACTAGCTTAATGTAAATCATGGAACCAGAAAAGGGCACTGTGAGGTTGATGAACCACATTTGAGAAGTGATATAAAAATTATAAATTTCTTTCATAATTTAATGTGCTCAAAGAGAACAAAAAGAATGAAACTGAACCTGCTTCTGGGTATCAGTAATCTGTTTTCATTTAGTTTTATTTTTCAATTGAGAAGTCGGTTGATCCATTTTAATTTCTTCTGGAAATGAGGTGTCATCTCAAGACCAAAATTTTCTCTCTTCCATGTACAAATATAAAGGACTCCTCTGTTAATTGCTTTTAAAGTATATATCTAAGGACAAGAACTACAGAGTTTCTGTAACATTCTCATGAAATGAAAAATAAGAATGATTTAGTGGGAGAATACACATATGATTTTTTTTAATTTTCTTTTAGGTTTTAATGTAATATTTAACTAGAATTTTTTTAGAATTCCATGAGTATTCAGAGTTTTTGTACTTAGTCTTTTGCTTCATTTTGTTTTTACCTTTATCATATAGCTTGGTGAATTTTCCATATAATACATTCTTTCCTCTCAATTTATTTATTATTATTATTTTTAATTTTCTTATTTTAAAATGTCTTTTTAATGACTACATACAATCCCATCGTATGTACTTAGCTTAACTTTTTATTTAATTCTCTATGATTGAATGTCCATGGATACTTTGGTTGTTTCCAGTTTTTTTTTAATATGAAAATATATCCATATAGCATAAAATTCACCTTGTTATTGTATACAATTCAGTATTTTTAAGTATATTCACAAAATTGTGCATCCATCATCACTCTCTAATTCCAGAATATTTTAATCACTTTAGAAAGAAACCATGTACCATATCTTGGCCATCATGAATAATGCTGCAATGAACATAGGAGTATATATATCTGTGCAGATAGATGTTTTCACTTTTTTCAGGTAGATAACCAGAAGAGGGATTGCTGGGTCGTATGGTAATCATATTATTAACTTTTTAAAGAAACTCCATAATGTTTTCCAGAATATCTGTGCCGGTTTACATTCCCACCAGCAGTGTATGAGGGTTCCTTTTTCCCCTACAATCTCTCCAACACTTGTTATTACTTGTCTTCTTGATGATAGCCATTCTAACAGGTGTGAAGTGATACTTCATTTTGGGTTTGATTTGCATTCCCCTAATTGTGAAGTTGAGCATCTTTTCATATGTCTATTGGCCATTTGTATATCTTCTTGGGAGAAGTGTATGTTCAGGTCCTCTGCCCATTTTTAAATTGGATTGTTTATTTTTTTGTCGCTGAGTTGTATGAGTTTTTTGTGTATGTTGGATATTAGCCCCTTATCGAAGGCATTGTTTGCAAATATCTTCTCCCATTTGGTTGGTTGCCTTTTCATTTTGTTGTTGGTGTCTTTTGCTGTGCAAAACTTTTTTAGATTGATATAGTCTGACTCATTTATTTTTGCTTCTACCTCCTTTGTGTGTCCTTTGATGGATGATTGGATAAAGATGATGTAGTAAATATAAATAGTGGAATACTGCTCAGCCATGAGAAAGGATGAAATACTGCCATTTGAGACAACATGGATAAGTCTTGAGAGCATCATGCTAAATGAAATAATCAATTGGAAAAAGTTAAGAATCACATGATTTCACTCATATGTGGGATATAAGACTAAAAGCAACAAGTGAACAAGGCAAACAAATAAAAACTCATAGACACAGACAACAGTATTGTGGTTACTAAAGGGAAAGAAGGATAGGGGAGGTAGAAAAAAGTAAAAGAAGTCAAATATATGGTGACAGAAGGAGATTTGATTTTGAATAGTGAGAACACAATACAATATACAGATTATGTCTTATAGAGTGGTACACTTGAAACCTATATAGTTTTATTAATCAAAGTCACTTCAATAAATTTAATAAATAAAAACAGAAATCATGTATCCATTAGCAGTCACTCCTAATTCTCTTTCTCGCACCCCCTTGAAAACACTAATCTATTTTCTGTCTCTATGGATTTGTCTGTTTGGACATTTAATATAAATGGAAACATCCAATATATGGTCTTATGGGTCTGGTTTATTTCACTAAGCATAATATTTTCAAGGTTTATGATGTTATATCATGTATCAGTACTTCATTGCTTTTTGTTTTTATTGTGATAAAATACACATTACATAAAATTTACTATCTTTTAATAAATTTTTGTCTACTAAAAAAGAGGACAAGTTTATTTCTATGTATCTATGAAGAGAAGACTTTATATATTAAATGTATAAAATGTATATCTTTCAATGACCATCTAATTAATTTGAATTATCTTCCCATTGCCTCACTTTTGAATATCTTACTCTGCTATACGTACTCACAACTGCGTCCTCATTTAAAATTCAAAGAAAGATCATTGAAATGTGTATTAACAAAAAGAAGATAAATATTGCAGATCATATTAATAGCAAGTACCCTGAGTAACTCAAAGTAGAAGTTACTTATTTATTTTTACAGTTGACATACAATATTATATTAGTTTCAGGCACACCACATAGCGATTAGATATTTATATAACTTACAAAGTGATCACTCCAATGAATCTACTACCCATCTGACAAACATACATAGTTATTATGATATTATTGATGATATTC